CTAAGCTACACCCCCAGCGTTCCCTGTTTTGTATTGGGGATTGAAACCAGGGCCTTTGCACTGAGCTACATCCCCTTTTAAATTTTCTTTAAATTGGGCTGGGGATTTAGCTCAGTGGTTCTGCAGCCTGCCTTGTAAGCACAAGGTCCCAAGTTTGATCCCCAGTACCAAAAAAAAAAATTTTTTTTTCTTAAAATTTTGAGACAGGGTCCTGATAAGTCATTGATTGCCCAGGCTGGGCTCAAGTTGTGATCCTCCAGCCTCAGCCTCCGGAGTACTGGGATTATGTAGAGGCATCTGTACCCAAAGTACAGAGCCTCTTGAAGGGCTGGCAACACCACAGTAGTCAAGCCAGGGAGGGCTTAAAGCAATCAGAAAATTATCCATTCAGCCCTCAGCAGGAGAGTCCTGCAAGCCAAGCGCCCAAGTCTCCTCAGGGGGTCGCCTCCCTGACTCTCCCAGTCACTCTGGAGCTCATCTCTGACCACCCTTGTGCATCTTCTGGGGGAAAATGTGCTGTCCTTAGCCTTCTGCCTGCCTGGCCTACAGTCCTGCTTAGTCTCTTGGTGTGAGCCTTAGGGTGCTTTCTACCCTCTCTGCTTCCCTGCACTGTCCCTGGACACACCCTCATCCCAGAGCCTGGGCATCATGAGTTTCTTTTGGTTTTGGGTTTCTGAGCAAGGGTCTCACTAGGTAGCCCAGGCTTGCCTTGAACCTACAAGGATCCTCCCACCTCAGCCTTCCGAGAGCTGGGATTCCAGCTCTCATTTGATTATTTAGGGTCTGACTCGTCATGGAGAAAATGAACTCCATGACAGCAGCCAGAGAATCATTCTCATTTTGCAGGTCGGATAACCAGGAGGGCGGTCTCTGAGTAGGTTTTCATGGTTCCAGTGTCGTGTGTTGAACCAATGCCCACTGGCATCTCAGGTGGGAGCCACCCCGCCCCTTGGTGGTGAGTGGGAAATATCGCCTTGGGCTGTCAAACTGCCTGCCAGACCTTCTGGGATTTCCCTTAGCCCATTAGCAACCGTGGACTCGCCACAGAACTTAACCCCACTGCACATTTAGACACAAAGCATTTTTACCATTATTTTTTAAACCTTTTTTTTTTTCCAGACAGGGTCTCTCGATATAGTAGGCTGGCCTTCAATTTGTTCTGTAGCCCAGATAGGCCTTGAACTTGTGATCCTCCTGGCTCAGCCTCCTGAGTGCTGAGATTACAGGTTTGCAGCACTATGCCTGGCTTTTTTAATTTGAAATTTTAAAAATTATTTATTAGCTGAGCATGGTAGTGCACGCCTATAATTCCAGCTCTCTGGGAGGCTGAGGCAGGAGGATGGCAGTTTGAGCTCAGCCAGGGTGATTTAGTGAATTAGGCAGAGCCTGTCTCAAAATTTAAGATAATAATAAAAAAGGGCTGGGAATGTAGCTCAGTGTGAAGGCCCTGAGTTCAATCGCAAGTACTAGGAAAAATAAATACCAACCCTGGGAACTGAAAGCAGAGGTGCTCTCCTACTGAGCCACACCTCCAGCCACTCAATTATTTTCTCTTCTTCTTCTTTTTTTTTTTGCATTTGCTCCCCCCAGGACCTTGCCCTTGCCAGGCAGGCACAGTACCACTAAGCTAAATCCCCAGCCCTTATTTTTCTGGGGGTTTTTTGGTTTGTTTTTTGTTTTGGTACCAGGGATCAAAACTCGGGACCTTGTGCTTTCGAGGCAGGCGGCGGAACCACTGAGCTAAATCCCCGGCCCCATATTTTTCTGTTTTTTGAGACAAGGTCTATGTAGATCAGGCTGGCCTCGAACTCACAGCAATCCTCCTGTCTCAGCCTCCTGAGTGTTGGGACTTCAGGCATGTGCCACAACACCTGGTTTAAGGTGTAGAATTCTTGTGCCCCATATATATAGTCCTCCCTCATCTGGAGAAGATTTTTCCAGGACCCCCAAGGACACCCAAACCTGTATAGTCTGTCTCTGTCTCTCTCCCTCCTTCTTGCCCTGACCCTCCAGTGCTGTGGACTGGATCCACAGCATCATCCATGTTAGGTATGTGCTCTTCCAGGGAATTACATCCCAGCCCTTTTTAAACTTCATCTTAAGACAGAGTCTTACTAAACTGCCTACACTAAATTGCCCACTTACTAAATTGCCTTACTAAATGGCCTTGAATGTTTGGTCCTTCCTGCCTCAGCCTCCCATGTAACTGGGATAACAGGCAAGGGGCACCACGTGAGCATAATTTTTTTTCTGAGTATTTTCTATCCTCAGTTAGTTGCATCCATTGATGTGGAACCCACAGACACAGACAGACAACTGAATATGCATTTTATTTTATACAACAGTAGGAAAATAGTAGTAAAATCACACTCCTGGCTGGGCTGGGTGTTTTGGCACATGCCTGTAATCTCAGCTACTCAGGAGGCTGAGGGAGGAAGATCCCAAATTGGAGGTCAGCAGGGCAATTTAGCAAGACCCTGTTTCAAAATAAAAGTTTGGGCTGGGAATTTAGCTCAGTGGTTCCACCGCCTGCCTCAGAAGCGCAAGGTCCCGAGTTTGATCCCCGGTACCCAAAACAACAGCAACAACTAAAAAACAAATAAAAGCATCAGAAGGGCTGGGATGCAATTGAGTGGTAGAGAGCCCCGGGGTTCAATCCCTAGCAATAACCTCCCCCCTCAAGAAATACACAAGATCCAGTCTTTCATTCAACAAGTTCTTTTCAGTACTGGGGATTGAACCCAGGGCTTTCACACTGAGCTACACCCCTAGCCCTTTCTTATGTTTGATTTTGAGACAGGGTCTGGCTAAATTGTTAAACTGTCCAAGCTGGGGTTGAATTTTTGATCCTCCTGCCTTGGCCTCCCAGTGTGCTGGGATTGTAGCTGTGTGTCACCAGGCCCGGCTTCATTCAACGTGTGTGTGTGTGTGTGTGTGTGTGTGTGTGTGTGTGTGTCTGTGTATGCTGCAAATGCTAAGCAAGTGGCCAACTCTTCACCCCATTTTGTGCTGTTTAATGAGTGGTTCCGCAGAAGCCTCTGTGAGGAGGCAGGGTGTGAATAAACAGTGCTGTGGTGAACTTGGCGGGTGTCCTGCAAGTCCCACAATTCCAAGAGGACCAACTTGCACGCCAAGGCAGTCTCTGAAAGGCTGGTACGAGTGGCCATATAAAGGGCAAGAGATTACCAGGTCCTTCCACTGTCCATGTTTTATCTCTTTTTTTGGTACTGGGGATCGAACTAGGGACCTTGCGCTTGTGAGGCAGGCGCCAGAACCACTGAGCTAAATCTCCGGCCCCACTGTCCATGTTTTAAATCACAAAATAAAACCACTGGCAGCTCAGGGAACGTCATTTCTCCCAGTGGCAGTTCCAGAGTGCTTAACACTGCAGGCATAAACACGTATGTCTGAGTGCTGGGCAATCCCTGTAAACTGAGGGCTACAGCTGCTGCCTGGCTGAGTGCCTTTGAGCCTTTGCAAACGAACTCACCACAGGGCCTTTGCACAGGCCTGGATCCAGCCCTTCCTATGTCAGGCTGAATTTCGTGTTTTCGCTCTCGAGGGCAGGATGGGGTCTGCCTTGCTCACCACTCTGACTTCCCCCGACATTTGCCCCAGCACTGTGCCTGACATTCAGTGCTGATTTGAAGAAGTGCACTGGACTGGTTGCAACCTGTATGCTTCTAAAACTACTGTTCCTCTGGCAAGGGTGAGCAGTCAGGCCAGGTTAGGTTTCCAGGTGTCAGTGCCCAGCGTGTGACATCTACTTTTGAGTGGCTGGAACACAACAGCATGAGCAAAGAAGGGGAGGCCAGAGAAGGAGATCCGCATCTCCTTGCCGCAAAGGACAGCATCCATGCAGAAACAACAAGCTTTCCAAACATCCCTGGGGACCGATAGACTCACTCCCACCTCCGCCCGCCGGTGAGGGCGCGGCCCCTTTAAGGCTCCTGAAAGAGCCGTAAGGACCGGAAGTGACCTTCTACATTTCCTCTCCTCACGTGGTGCGGGCGGGAAGTGACGCACGGGGCCCGGGAGCTGCGGACGCGGAGGCCACGGTGCCGGAGTCGCCGACGCCGCGGGGTCTCCGGGACAGGTGACCGGGAGAGGGGGCCGGGAGCGCGCCCGGAGAGGGCGGAGCCTGGAGCCCCACGTGAGGGGAGTGGGAGCACGCGCGGGCAGGGTGGTGAGCAGCCGGCGGGGGCGGGGTCAGAGTACTCTGCGGGGGGCGGGGTCAGGACGCCCACATGGGAAGCTGGAGAGGCGCTGTCGGGGTGGGACGTGAGTGTGTGGGCAGGGTCGGGGCGGGCCCGGCTGCGGGCGGGCCTCGGCCCGGGTGGGCGGCCGAGGGCGGGGCTGGGCAGTTGTGCCTGGGCTGGGGGCGGGGCAGGGGTGGTACCCGGCGAGCTAGGGGCGGGGCCTGGGCCCTGGCTATAAACCATGGGGCGGAACCAGAAAGTTTTCCCCGCCAGGTAGTGGGTCCGGATGGTTGGCTGGCAAGTTAGGGGCGGATGCAGAGACTGACAAGACCAGGGCGGGGCTTAACGAGGCGGGGCGCTGGGCCAGGTCAAAGGCGGAGTAATGCAATGGGGGTGGAGCCCGAGAGTTTTGTCTGAGCCAGGGCTGCAGCCCGACCGTTGGCGGGCAAGCCGGGGGTGGAGCCAGGCACTCGGTTGGGGAAGCCGGGGGCGGGCCCAGATGTGACGCGCGGGGGGGGGCGCTTGTTTGGGGGCGGGGAAAGGGGTTGGCCAGGCTGGTGGGGAAGCCCCGGGCGGGGCCGAAATAACGCGGACGGTGGGGGCTGGTTCAGTCTGCTGCCTGGGGGCGAGGGGGCGGGGCCAGGGGGTGGCTGGGAGTTGGAAACCTGGCCAGAGAAATGAGTCGCCAGTCTGGACCGAGCCCGTAGTTTGGCGGGAAAGGCGGGGACAGAAAGTTTTGCCCTGGCCAGGGGATGGGCTGGAGCAGCCTGTACTTGTCAGGGGCGGGGCCTGGGGTTCCGGGCCTGCGCGAAGCTGGAACTTTCCCTTGGAAAGCGGAGGGCCGGCCAAGGAAGTTTGGTCCTCGCTGCTGTAGTTGTTCACTAGTGAGGTCAACCGCAGTCCAGGAGCCCTTCCCAGTCTCTTCGGGGAGGGCATGAGCCGACGGTACCTTTCTCAGGATGCTGGGCCGGTTTAGAGTGTGCTCAGGGGAGCTGTGGGCTTATGTTCCCTGACAGTTGGAGCTGGAGCTTTTGTTGACTGTGGGTCAGGGGACATTTCAGAAGCTTACCTGGTGGAGCTAGGAGGTCCACTGGGATGTGAATGGCAGTAGAGTGGGCACAGGAGGTGCAGGTTGGGAGGAGGAGATAAGGTGGAGCTCTCGAGATGGGGTCTGGGCTCACATTCCCATCACGGGCTCTGGAGGCTACGCTAGAATCTTGGCTTGATAGGAAATGTTGATTATTTCCTTAAGCACTGGCGCGGGCCAAACTAAAAAGTTTAAGGGAGTCCAAAAAAACCACATCTGTATTTTTGCAGGAAGGGGGTGCGGCCTGCACTTGAAGAGTGATGGGAATGAGCTAGAATTCTCTTGGGGTTCAGGTGGTTTTTGGTGCATCTGTGTGAAGAGCCCCCAATGTTTTAAGGGGATAAAGTAGACTGGAAGTCCCTTTGGCCTTATTTCTGCTGTCCCCGCTCCCCTCAGGAACCCCCAGTCCTGCATCCAGATTGTGTCAGCGAGGTTGCTGGGACCCTGGCCACAGCCAGAGAAATGGTGAGACCAAAAATGGAGACTCAGAATCTGAGTTTTGGGGAAGGGATTTGGGAGGATGGTGTCCACAGGGCAGACACTGAGACCCTAGGCTGAATGCCTCTGGGATAGATGGAGGGTATTTTTTCCAACCCTCAACTGCCTCATTTCAGGCAGCCACATTGGATTTGAAATCAAAGGAAGAGAAGGATGCTGAGCTGGACAAGAGGATCGAGGCTCTCCGGCGGAAGAATGAAGCCCTCATCCGGCGCTACCAGGTGCCCTAGCCCCGCCCAGGGAGACCCCATCCCCTCTCCTCCCCGCAGTGAGTTTTTCTCACCCCTCCCTTGCTTACATCTTTCTCATGGTTTCCCATCTCTCTCAGGAGTGATATATTCCTTCCTTCATTCCATCATTCAGCCATTTATCACAAATACAGAGGTTTTCACTGCACTAAGCCCTGTGTTGAGTAGTACCGGGGACACAGCCAGGACTGAGTTGGCTGCAAGTGGCCTTCCAGGCTCCCAATCTGGTCAGGGGGACAGCCCTGTCCTCAGTTTCACAGCCCAGCCTGGACAGGGGACAGTGGGAGTGTATGTGAGGGGTCTGACCAAGCTTGGGGTATTGGAGAGGGCATCGTGGAGTAGGGGACTCTGAGGCCTGAGTGGTGACCAGACAGTGGCCAGTTGAAAAGGAGAGACAGAGGAAACATAAATATTTAGTTTGGATAAATATTTGCATGCAGGAAAGGGCTTGGAGCTTAAGTTGGGGCCAGGAGGCCTTTGACCTAGAGAGGTCAGCAGGGACCAGGCCAGGCAGGGCCCTGAGTGCCGCTGGGGTGAGAATTTGGACCTTTTCCTAAGGGAACTGGGGAGCTGGGGAGGGCTGTGAGGAGGAGTGGGACCAAGCCAAGTAGCTTTTTAGGGAGACTCCTTTGGGCCCTCTGTGCTAGAGAATGAGGGAGGCCATACTGGAGTCCAGAGACAAGAAGGAAGCTGGGGCAGGGACCTAGGGGAGGAGGTCCTAGCTCAGGGCTGGGCTGCTGAGAGTCTTGGTGACAGAGTAGTGGGGAGTTAGAGGAGGAAGGAGGAGCCAGGACCAGTCCTATGAATAGGTGGTGGGGCTGCCTCTGAGATAGACCTGCGAAGAGGACTGGGTTTCATTTATTCATTCTTCATGTGTTCATTTATTTTTTTTTAAAAAACCAGTTTTTTGGGCCAGGGATTTAGCTCAATGGGTTCACCGCCTGCTGTGCAAGTACAAGGTCCCGAGTTTGATCCCTGGTACCAAAATAAATAAACAAACCATTTTTTTTGTGTGGCAGACAGTGTTCTAGGGTCAGGGTTTAACATCAGTGAACACGCAGACGGATGTTCCTCTTCTTTAGTGAGTGACAACAGAGGATGATAGGGCAGGTGGATTCTATAGGGGGTCAGGAAACTGAGACCTGAGGAGCTGAGGGGTGAGAGTTCCTGGTAGAGGGAACAGCTGGTGCAAAGGCCCTGAGGTGAGTCTGAGCCTGGCATGTTCTAGAACCAGCAGGAAGGCTGGGGTGAGTGAGGGGAAGAGGGAGAGATGTATGTCAGGGAGACAAGGAGACTGGGTCCTCTAGGAGATGGGCTGTGGGGAAGCCCTGTCTCTTTCTCAGAGATGGGTGTCAGGAGGGTTCTGAGCAGGAGCAGTGTGACAGGGTCTCAGGCATGATATTGAAATGAGCAGCGGCTTTTTCTTTCTTTTTTTTCCTGGTACCAGGGATCAGACTCAGGACCTTGCGTTTGCCAGGCAGGCGCGGTGCCACTGAGCTGTATCCTCCAGCCTGAAATGAGCACCTTCTTATGTAGAGCTTTGAAGGGGGGCCTGCACTGGGGCCAGACTGAGGAGGAATCGGGGCTGTGGGAGTCCAGCTGGTGGAGAGGTCCCTAACACCCCTGTACCCTGGTGTCTGCTCCTAGGAAATCGAGGAGGACCGTAAAAAAGCCGAACTTGAAGGAGTAGCGGTGACAGCGCCCCGGAAGGGCCGAACGGTGGAGAAGGAGAATGTGGCGGTAGAGGTGCTGAGTTTGTCACTGGGGTGGGGAGGAAGAGAAGGAAGGGGTTGAGGCCTGGGACCTAGGAGCCTTCTGGCCACCCCAGACCTGCGGGTAGCCACAGTCCTGGCCTCGAGCTTCCTGCCTAGTCACTGTCTTCTTCCCTGTTCCCACTTTCAGGAGAAGAGCCTGGGACCCTCACGGAGGTCTCCCGGGACCCTGCAGCCCCCAGGGGCCAGCAGAGGGGGGCGGGCTGCCCCACAGCAGGGAGTCCGGCCAGGCGTGGGCCGGGCATCACGAAGCTGGGAGGACAGTCCTGGGCAGCAGCCTCAAGGAGGAGCTGGTGGCTGGGGCCGGAGGGGCCGAGGCCGAAAGTCCCCTCATCTCTTGGGAGCTGGTGACAGCTCAGCTTCTGACCGCAAATCCAAGGTAGGAGCCAGGTGGGCATGCCGCTCCGATGAAGCGTCTAGCTTCCTGTTTCCCTCCTTTCACACACTAAGGTGGGCTATCTCCTGGCCTCCACCTGGGGCACTGTCTGCAAATTTCTGCTTTTGCCCTCCTGACTGGCATTGTCGTCTGTCTGTCAGTGTGTTGTGCTCTGTGTCAGGGTTCTGTGCTGGGTCCCCTTTGGTCTGCTGTCTCAGCACCCAGGTCTATGGGGTGAGCTTGCTGTGGCTGCCCTCCATCCCTGGCCTGCAGGTCAGCTGGCAGCAGGCTGTCCAGCTGAGGTGCCCACGGCCTGTGGGGACTTGGGTCTGGCGGGTTCAGTAATTCTCTGTGCTGGGCAGCTCACCACCCTCTGTGAGCTCCAGGGCTTGCTCCTCTGGCAGTGCCAATTACACTTGCATGTTATTTCGAGGATTCTGGGAAGGCCCTGTGTGAGCATGCCGTGAATAGCACGCTAAGCTGCTCTGACCAAAGGCCCCCAAGTTTGTGGCCCACAGACGAAATTTATCTCTCTTGTCTACTGAGCCACAGTGAGGTGAGTGCTGTGGGTAGGGTCTCTTGCTCCGTGATGCCACCCTGGGGCCTGGGTTGCTTGTCACTCAGGTTGCAGTTATTGTCTGTGTGGCAAAGGTGGGCCTCTGACACAGTTGAGGGCCAGTTCACAGGAATGGAAAGGAGCCTGTCTTTGCATTCATTTCTGCATTCTGTCAGTGAACGTGAGATACTGGCCACACCCACCTGCACAGGATGCCGGGGAGTGAAAATGTCCTCTCCAGCTATGTGCTGGTCTAAAATTACATTACCATGGAGAAAGGAAGAATGGTTTGTGGGGTACTAGTTAACCTGCTGAGTTACTACAATTATTACCATTGTTGTAACTGCGGCAACCAGGGTCTTGGGGTCCTCAGCACCCTGATGCTGAACCCCCAATTTCAGAGGTTTACTGGCACAACTCAGACTCAGGGCTCAGTGCTATCACAGCAAAATCACCAAAGGGCAAAGGAAGAAGGGACAAAGTCTGGAGGGCCAGGGTCAGGTTACCGAGACTCCCGGGGTATTCTGAGTCCTCCAGCTATGAGCTGTGATGACACATGTCTGCCGGGATGCCCAGGTGACATTCAGTGCCCTGGGTTTTTATTGGAGGCTGTGCCCCTCCATAGGCTGCACCAGAATTCCTGACTCTGGAGGCTTTATCTACATGCCGTTGTCACGGTCAGGGCATAGGAGCCATGCTCTAAGGCAGTGCTGTACAGGGAATACACTGAGGGTGATGACTGATGCCAGCCCTGTCCCTCCTCTCCGCCTGCTTGCTCAAGAACAGCTAGGCCTCCTGTGCTGTTTTCTGCATGGCTGGTAGAACAGCTCTTCCCAGCACTGGGAGTTCTGTCTTTGTCTCCCAGGAGTGGGAGGAGCGGCGAAGACAGAACATTGAGAAGATGAACGAGGAGATGGAGAAGATTGCAGAGTACGAACGCAACCAGCGGGTGAGCGCTGCAGGTGGCATGGCGGGCATAGCCTTCCGGGGCCTGGGACCCTGCCAACCATGCCCTGTGCCCGCAGGAAGGGGTACTGGAGCCTAACCCAGTGAGGAACTTCCTGGATGACCCCCGGCGCCGCAGTGGACCCCTGGAGGAGCCTGAGCGGGACCGCCGGGAGGGCAGCCGCCGGCACGGGCGCAACTGGGGGGGCCCCGACTTCGAGCGGGTGCGCTGTGGCCTTGAGCACGAGCGGCAGGTGGGTGCTGGCAGCTGGGTCTCTGCAGCATCTTCTCATGGACTAAGCGCAGACTGCTAGGCCCACTGGGGACCAGGACAGGCCAGTTCTTGCATTTTGTGCTGGGATCAGTGTTCTCATTTTTATTATTATTGCTGTGATATTGGGTGTTGAACCCGGGGGCTTTGCCCTGAGCTGGCCTCCCCCCTTTAATACCTTGAGACAGGGTCTTGCTAAGTTGCTATATTGCTCAGGCTAGGCTTGAATTTTGAATCTTCCTGCCTCTGCCTTCCAAATAACTAGGATTATAGGCATGTGCCATCATGCCTGGGTCTTATTTTATTTTTATTTATATTTGCATTCTACCACTGGGGCACACCCCCAGGCCCCAGGCACTGTTTTAGGTGCTGGGGATAAGAGTTGTAAAGCAAAGCCCTGCCTGACGAAGTTTCTGGTGGGAGCTAGGTTGGTGAAAATCTAGTAAGAGGCCAGGGGACCCAAGTGTCACCTCCAGGAGAGCCCAGGAGGATGAGAGAGATGGGGAGAGGCTCTCTGAGGCCACTAAGCCCAGCTGCTTGTCACCTCCTCCCACCTTGAGCCAGTGGCCCCACTCTGAATTTTGGGATCAGGGCTGGAGCACGGCGAACAGGACCCTGACTGTCTGTGGCCGGGGCAGGGCCGCCGTGCCAGTCCGGGTAGTGCTGGTGACATGACAATGTCCATGACGGGCCGGGAGCGGTCGGAGTACCTGCGCTGGAAGCAGGAGAGGGAGAAGATTGACCAGGAACGGCTGCAGCGACACCGCAAGCCCACTGGCCAGTGGCGACGCGAGTGGGATGCGGAGAAGACCGAGGTCATGTGAGTTCCCCTTGCCTCGCCTCACCTCCTTGGCCCAGGCCTGCCCCTCTCCTCAACCTGGGTGTCGCTGCTGGCTGGCTAGTGTGCCACGCCCCAGTGGCATGTGAGAGCCTTTCTTCGTCACAGGCTTAGTCTGCCGAGCTGGACACCGAGCTGTGGTCCTGCCCGCTCAGCTCCTTGATGCAGGTGGAGCTGGGTGTGATGGGAAGAGACAGGAAGTGAGGTCAGCTAGGCAGCTGGGCATGTCCTTTGTCAGGGTCTTACCCCAATTTTTAGTTTGGGGGCCAGATTCTTTTTCTGTTTATCCCTATGATGTCAAAGTTGCCACTCTTCCGTGCTGATCCTGTCCTACTTAATGACCTTTCTGGTAGGCTGGTTGTCCTCTGATTGGATCTCCAACCCTGGCCTCCATCCCTCCCCGCTGCCCCCCCCCCATTCACCTTCCTCCTCTTTCCCAGGTTCAAGGATGGCCCAGCCCCTGCCCACGAAGCATCCCATCGCTATGGTGAGTGGTGGCCTCACGTGCATACTGTAGGGCACAGCAGCAGCCTGGGCTGGGTATAAGGCTGGGAAGGTGGTTTGTATAACACTCCCTCCACCCACCTTCTGGCTTCTGTTGCAGATGACCAGGCCTGGGCCCGGCCCCCCAAGCCTCCCACTTTTGGGGAGTTCCTGTCGAAGCACAAAGCTGAGGTCAGCAACCGACGGCGAAGAAAGAACAGCAGACCTCAGCCCAAGGCAGCCCCCCGGGCCTACAGGTAGGGTGCCCTCCCCCACACATTGCCACCCCTCGGGGCAGTGTGCCACGTCCTGGGTCCTTCTGTCTGTCTGGTGTGTGTGCGGGTGCAGCTGTCTTGGCTCTGTCTCTCGGGTTCTTGGCTTTGGGGTTGGGGTCTGATCTTGCCATAACCCCTGTACCCTTCTCCAGCATCCATCTCTGCTTCTGCTGCCTGCCTCTTCCATGTCCTGTCCTCTGACGTGGGGACTCACGTCCACAATGAGTCCTCTGTGCAGCATTCTGGGGGCATTGGGAGGCAGGAAGGCCTTGCACCTGTCCACCCTACACACCCTGCACCCCTCTCCTGTGCCCTCTCCAGTGACCATGATGACCGCTGGGAGATGAAAGAGGAGGCAGTGTCCCCAGCCCCCGAGGCCACACAGCTTGAGGAGAGGCCAGCACAGGTAGCGCAGGATGGAGGGAGACTGTGAGGGTGACTGGGGCCATACCTTTTTGCTGACCTGCCTTTGTGCCCGCAGCCTCCAGAGACCCTGGCCTCTGCCCACCGGCCTCCTGAGGATGAGGGGGAGGATGACGAAGAGTGGGAGGATGTGAGTGAGGAGGTGACTGAGGAGGAGGAAGATGAGGAGGAAGAGGAAGAAGGGGAGGAGCAGCCCCAGGAGCAGCCGCAGGATCAGGAGCAACAGCAGCAGGAGCAGCAGCAGCAGCACATCAAAGAGGAAGAAGAAGGTGCCCAGAAACAGGAGGAAGAACTACCCCAAGAGCACCAAATGCATGAGGCTATGCCCACTGGGAGGCCCCCTAGCGAGCAGGCTGAAGAAGCGCCCAGACCTGAGGAGCCGCTGCCCCAGGGCCCTGCCACGCCCACCAGCCCCTTCTCGCTACCCGGTGGCCACCGGCCTGTGTCTGACTGGGGTGAGGAGATGGAGCGGAATTTTCCTGGGACACCCCACCCGCCTGGCACCCTCTCTCCGGGTGAGGCCTGGCCTTTCGGGAGTGCATGACGCTGGCTGGCTGTGTGTGTGCGAACAAGGGGTGAGGCAGGTCCTGGGGACCCTGTGCCCCACGTCCCTGGAGGCCTGGGAGGGTAGTCTGTGTCCCCTCCATACTGTTGTGCCTGCATCTCCTGAATGCCCACTCCCAGAGCCTGCCCCAGGTCACTCAGAGGCCCCCCCCAATAAAGAATTCATACCCTCCAATGACGTCCCTAAGTGTGTCCTTAAGTCCCATCTGTCCCTGCCCTTCTCCAGGGGTGGGGAGGTACTTGAGGGGCGGGGGCTTGACTGGGCCTCCCCTTCCCCAGGAGGTGACCAGCCAGCCCCTGCCTCCCCGGAGAGTAGGCCAGGCCTCCCAGGAACCCAGAGAGAAGAAGAGGAGGGGTCTGAGGCGATTCCAGGTGGGGTTGCATGGCGGTGGAGGTGCTTGGGCTGCCAGCCTCCTCTGGGCTTCGGGCAAGAGCTTGGGCAGCTGGGGTGATGTGGCCCCCTTGGGGTGGCGGTGGTGGGGCCTGGGCTTGGGCTCTAAGGGAGGCGAGGATGGTGCTGGGTGAAAAGGTGTGGCCAGGGAGAAGGTCTAGGGCAGAGAAGGAGGGAAGGGAGGGGGTGGGGTAGGGCTCTGTAGAAAGCTAAAATGAGGTTACAAATTGAACTGGTGGGCCAGGGATTTAGCTCAGTGGCACCCGCCTGCCTGCCTGCGGGGCTCGCTCGTGGGCGGTTAGGACCCTGCAGTAGTTTGGCATGGTGGGTGGAGGCCAGCCGCGTGCTTCCTTCCACGCAGGTTGTGTTGAGGGTGGGTTCTGCTTCGGGGCTACCCTGATCCTCAAAGGAGTGGTTCGAGGCTGGAACCTGCCTGGCGCCTGGTTGATGGGAAGGGAAGGGCCGGGCCAGATGGGAGAGGGTGTTGGGGCCTGGGGGAGGCAGGAAGGCTGTGCCCCGTCTTTGACAGCGTCTTCTCTCTGCAGAGGCGGGTCCCGAGGGCCAGGAGATGGCAGAGATCACCGACTTCCAGAGGGTGCGTTTCTGCAAGGTGGTGGCGGCCGCCCCGCCCCCGGGGGCCGCCCGCTGACAGCAGCCGGACCGCGCCTCACTAACCTAGGCCTCGCTCCGCTTCCACGCTGGGCCAGGAGAGGGTTACATGCAAGAGGGAGGACCCAGGGTCAGTCGGCGCCGAGGCCAGGGCTCCGGGCTAAGCGCGATGAGGACTCATCGAGGCTCCACACCTGGGAATGCCAGGCCACCAGGGATGGCTAGACGCCTCCAGATTAGCCCACCTTGGAGGCCACGGGCCAGGGGGCAGCCCTGGCCGAAGCCCGGCCTCCAGGACCCTACATCTGGGGCTTGGCGCAGCCATGACTTCCACAGGACTTTCGCTAGCTGGGCCGCTGTGTCCATTAAACGCAGTGCTTCCGCTAACCTTTGCCCCATGTTTCTGGCGGGGCAGGCTGGGTGCTGTGCTTGGTGAGCTTTTCCGTGGCAGAGGAGGCGGGGTGAAAGGGTCTTCCCTCTCTCGTCCCCCTGATTCCTCTTCCCTCCCCTCTCACAGGCCTCCCCGAGCTCCTGAAGACGCTGCTGGGAGGGGACTGAAGCTTCCCCATCTTGATGGGGATGGGGCGGCAGAAGGGGGGTTTTCTGGATCTCCAGGCTGTGTTTTCTCCTCTCAGGAGCCCACTCTGGACCCCTCGGCTCGAAGGAGAGGGAGGCATTGAGGGTGGTGGAGTTGCTGGGAGAAGGGGCGTGACCAGGGTGAGGGGAGGAGCTGGACCACCGCTGAAGCATCAGCTGCTGCACAGGGGAAGCAGGTGCTATAGGGGGCGGGGTTGGGTTGCGGGGTTGGATTCCCAGGAGGGGTCAGAATCTAGGTGGGCGGGGTTGGGTTGCGGCCGGGGGTCTTGGGCTAGGCCTACGGACCAGGGGCTAGACGGGGCTCTCCACCCGGGTATTGGGCAGGGTCACAATTAGTGTGGGTCAGAAGGCCGTGTTGGAGTCAGGGCTAGACTGGAGTGGAAAGGCTGGAAGGGAAAGAGGGCCAGGTTCGGAGGCTGGAGTTGATAGTCCCAAGCGTAGAAAGGGGAGTTAGGGTTGAGGCTGAGTGGGGCTAGGGCACGAGGCAAGCTTGAACCTGGAAAGGGGGCGGGAGAGGAGGCGGGGCTAGATGCTTGGATGAAGTCTGAGGCCGCAAAGTTGGCGCACCTCGGCGCGGAGAGAAAAGTCGGAGGGTGGAGCTAAATCCAGGGGCGGGGCCAGAGGGGCAGGGTTAGAACGCCTTAGTGGCGGGCCTGAGGGGGCGTGGTCAGACGCGGAGGCGGGTCTCCCTGCGAGGGCGGGGCGGTCCCGCAGCGGGGCTGAGTGGGCAGCGGCGATGCGGGGCACGAGCTGCGTGGGCGGCGGTGGCGAGAGCCCCGGTGGCGGGGGGCTAAGCGAGGGTCCGCGGGGCCGCTGGCTGCGCCTGGCCCCTGTCTGCGCCTACTTTCTCTGCGTCTCTCTGGCCGCCGTGCTGCTCGCCGTGTACTATGGTCTCATCTGGGTCCCCACGCGGCCCCTTGCAGGTCCTGCCGGTCCCCTGCCCAGCGTGCCGCCCGCCCCGTGTGCCGCCCCGCCAGGCGTGCCGCCCGCCCCCGTCCCCGCCCCAGCTGCCGCCGCTGCCTGCCTGCTGGGAGCCCCGGGCGAGCCGAGGCCCCCACTTGATCTGCCGCGCAGTCGCCGCCGCCGCCACAGCGGCCCTGGGCGCCGCCCCCGCCGTCCGCCACCGAGAGAGAAGCCCGAGGCCGCGGGGGGCCGAGGACCCGGGTAACCCCCTTCTTACCCCAATGGTCCCCACCACGCCGCCGTCCTCAGGGCCAGGCTTGCTCTTGGTGACATCGCCCGGCGTTTCCAGAGCCATCACCCTGAAGGAGTGGGCCGGTTGCTGGCCCTGGGCCCCTGTGACAGCTCCTCCATGGTCAGGCCGGCGATCCTGATCTCTGCCTCCGACCCCCGCCCCCTAGGATGCTGATCAGAGCCACTCTGTCCTCTCCAGTTCTCGTGTCTGTCTGCAATAAACTCCAGCCCAGCCGCCCGCCTGTCTGTAGTGGTGTCTGCCTAGGTGCCTCCGGCCTCGTCTGCCGGAAGTACCCCTGGGGTCGGGCCTTGGTCTCCCTTTCCCTGAGTGTGTGTGTGTGTGTGTGTGTGTGTGTGTGTGTGTGTGTGTGTGTGTGTGCTTTGGGATGGGTGGGGAGAAGAGACTTATGGGCTGGGGCCACTGCAGGTCAGTCAGTGCGAAGGGCTTCCTGGTGCTCCGTGTGCTTGTGGCACAGAACAAATCCCTTCCTGAGAGAAGCGGAGAGTGCCCTCGAGCTAGACAGCAACAAACTGAGGACTGCTGTCAGGGTAGTAAAAGGACAGGGCTAGAGGCAAAATCACTCTGGGACCTTAGGATACTGTCTGGAAGACAGGTGCCTGCTTTCTCCCAGAGATCATCGAGGACAGGGTGAAATTGTCACAGCACTGAGCTGTCTCTGCCAGGGAGGACAGGGGCTCTGGCCTGCAACTGGGAAACTCCGGTGCAGCTTCCGGCAGAGGACTGAGGGTAGTGGACGGCCCTGCTCCTCCCCAAAACTGAAGCCAGGCTCTGTGCAGGGCCCCTGGGTCAGCAGGAAGTGGCTTCCAGTCCCTCTTGGGGTGGCGACCTTCCAGACTCCTGAAGCTGAGCCTCCAGGAAGGTCTGAGGAGGTGGCTGGAGTGTCAGCTCTCCCTCCCCACAACCTCCCCAGAGGGTCCCGGGTGGAAGGGGAACACAGGAAGGCATCCATCTTTCCAGGCAGCAGAGACAGTGGCTTGGGCACTGGCTTTGGGGTCAGGGTACCCGGATTCAAATCCGGCTCTTCATCACCTGTGTGACTGAGTGGCTTACTCCACTTCTGTGACCTATACAGTGGAGACCTCAGGTACTTAGGATGAACAGTGGTCTGAAGCCCTCAGAACAATGTCAGAGTTCTGTCTACCTCCTCCCTCCTCTCAGGCTTTCAAAAGCGAAGCTCAGATCCCTGATCCCATATGGTGTCCAGTTGGGACCTCCCCATTCTGTCCCCACTGCTCCCCCCATTTTCTAATTTCCAGCTCTCTCCCAACTTCACTGTCTCAGTGTTTTCCGTCCCTTTTTCCATGGTCTTCTCCTAGTCCCTCCGCAGCCCCATTTTCTCTCTCTGTCTCAATCTGTGTCTTTGTGTCTTCCTAGATGTCTCTCCATTTGGTCTCTGGCTCTGTATCTCTGACTCATTCTGCACTCTCTGTTGTTCACCTCAGCTCTGTTTCTTTCTCTTTTTTTGGGGGGGGGGCGTTGAGACAGGGTCTCAGTATGCAGTTCAGGCTGGCCTTGAGCTCACTATGTAGTCCAGGCTGGCCTCAAACTTGGAGCAATCCTCCTGCCTCAGCCTCCCAAGTGCTGGGATTACAGGCATGCGCCAGCACACCCAGTTCTGTGTTTCTTACCCATCTCTCTCCCCCATCTTGCCTCAACCCCTCCTCCCCACTTGCTTTTTTTCCTACCCCCACATTTCCCAACCTCCATCCCTTTCCTCTCTCTCCTGTTTCTCTGAACCCTTCTTTTAGTCCTTCCCTTAACTTCGATTTATCACATTTTTGTTTGTTTGTTTGGTACAGGGGATCAAACTTGGGTCCTTGTGCTTGTGCAGCAGGTGGGGAAACCACTGAGCTAAATCCCTGGCCCCTATCACATTTTTTTTTAACATCTACTCTGTGCACTTTGTGGGGGGTACTGGGGATTGAATCCAAGGCCTTTGCACTGAGCTCCATCCCCAGCCCCTCCCCACCTTTTTTTTTTTTTTTTGAGACAAGGTTTTGCTGAGTTTCTCAGGCTGGGCTTAAACTTGTGATCTCCTGCCTCAGCCTCCCAGAGTCCTGGGATTACAGACATGGGCCATTATGCCTAGCTTGCTGGGATTTATTTATTTATTTTTTTAAAATAATTTTTTGGTTTTTTTCTTTTTGAGACAGGTGCTCCCTATGTATTTCAGGCTGGCCTTGAAGTTACTATGTAGCCCAAGGCCACTTAAACACTGGGGACATAGCACTGAAGAAAACAGGCAAATGTCAGCCAGGCCTGATGTCAGCCAGGCATGGTAATGCACCCCTGTGATCTCAGCTCTCCAGAGGCTGAGGCACGAGGATGGGCAACAGTTGGAAGTCACCCTGGGCTACACAGCGAGTTCAAGGCCAGCCTGGACTACATAGGGAGACCTTGCCTGGCCAAAACTCCCTGATCTCATTAAAAATTATTAGTGGGAAAACACAAGAAATATGATGAACAACACACATATATATTCTGTCACACAGTAATAAACACAGAAGAGCAAACCACAGCAGGGTGAGGTAGTCACTGGGGACAAGCCAGAGACAGAGGCCCAGGCCCAGGGAACAGTAAGTGCTAGGGCCTGAGGCTGGTGGGACTCAAACACACTGACTGTTGGGGAGAGTGGGGGAGCTGAGCAGCCACCTGGGGCCTCAAGGTGGACTTGGGTTTTTGTTTGTTTGAGACAGGGTCTCACTATGTAGTCAAGGCTGGCCTCCAACTCACAGCAATCCTGCCTCAGCCTCCAGAGTGCTGGGATTACAGGTGTGCACCGCCATGCCCTGCCCCTATCAAGGTGGATTTGGGCTTTTCCTTGAAATGAGGTGGCAGCCACACAAGACTTCGGAGCTGAGGAGGGACCTGAGCTGACTCAGGTGCCCAGCACAACCTTGGATGGCCATGTAGGTGGTGACAGTGGCAGCTGGGAGCCTGGAGAGGAGGCAATGGTCGTGGGTTAGGTGAGGGTGATGGCAGTGGACCCAGGAGCCTGTGTCAATAGGGCCTGACCTACCCCAGACATTTCATACACAGGGAGTCAGGCATGAGGGCCTTTTTTGCCTAGCTTCTCTCACTCAGCAGCAGTTCCGGGTCCTTCCATGCCCCCAGCTGACCAGCTCTCTGTCGTTCTCTGCAGCTGGTGATTCTGCTCATCTGTGGCCACTACGCTCTGTGGTCCGCTTCCTAGTGCAATAGGCCTTGGCCTTGCTTCTGCTGTGAACATTTGTGTGCATGTTGTTGCTGGAATACCTGCTTTGAGGTCTAATGGGTAGAGAGAATTGCTGCACCCAGTGCTAATCCATGCTCAGTCTGTCAAGGGACCACTGAGGTCTGAAGATGCAAATGACTGGATTGGCCGAGGCGGCTGAGGAAGAGTCAAGGGGCAAGCTGCACCCCACTTGGGTGGGGCTGCCTGGCTGAGCCCTGCCTCTTTCTGCACTCTCCCCAAGGTCTCTCCTCTCTCTCCCTCCTCCAATAACCTCAATCCCCTTGGTAGCCTCCCCTTGCCCCCACCTGTCACAGTCCAGAGGAACCTCAGAGATTCACTCCTACCCTTCTTGGGGTCAATATGTTTTCGGTACTACGGAATCGAACCCAGGGTCTTAGCACTGAGCTACACCCCCAGCCATTTTTGTTTGTTTGTTTGAGATAGGGTCTCACTATGTAGTCCAGGCTGGCCTTGAACTCACAGTGATCCTCCTGCTTCAGCCTCCTGAGTGCTAGGATTATAGGTGTGCACCACCATGCCTGGTCCTTTCATGGGATTTAGGGTCTCAAAAGGATCCTTTGCCTTGGTCTCCTTATGCACAAGAGAAGATTGCAACAATCACACATGCCTGGTGTCAAGCTTTAGCAGAGGGCTAGGGACAGGCAGGGCTCCGAAAATAGTGGGGATTCCTGGAGTGGGGGTCAATGCTGGGGACGTGAGGTGACTATGACAGTCACAGGCCTGCGCTCACAGGTTTCACATTCCAGAGGAGTGATCCAGACGCACAGGATGAATGATCCAGAGTGGGCAGGGTTGCGATGGGAAGTTCAGTGAGCTAAGAGAACCACAGTGGGAATCCAGGCAGCAATCACTCTTAAAAGAGCTGCCTGCACACTTCCATGGACACCACAGGGACCTCCACCGTTTCCAGTTCTTTCTGTGCATTGCAGTAGCTTCATTGCCAGGCCACTGCTTCTGGAGTTTTTGGAGCCTGAGATAAGAGATCCTGGACTTCTGAGCTCATTTTCGAGACTGTGACCCTGCTGGTGAACCAAGGTGCTTTCCTTCAATCCGATTGGATGAACACAGGTCACATGACAACTTCAGACCCAACGTCTGTGTCGGGAAATTTGTCAGGAGCTGATTGGTTAGGATTTGAGCTCCTGAACCACTCACAAGTAAAGGCAGGATTGTTGTGAAGTTTTAGGCTAATCAGGACCCAGCCCTTTATCTGGCTTCAACTGTGAGATCCATTCAGATGTGGTATTTGGGACTGAACCCAGAGCCTTTGCACTGAGCTACATCCGCAGCCATTTTTATTTTGAGTCATGTTATTGCTATGTTGCTAAATTGCCCAAACCTTGAGGCAAGGATTTAACTCAGTGGTTCCGCCGCCTGCCTCGCCAGCGCAAGGTCCCGAGTTCCGTCCCCGGTACAAAAAAAAAAAATTGCCCAGGCCTTGAACACACTATACCCAGGCTGCACTAGAACTCACAGTGATCCTCCTGCCTAAACTGACATTATAAATTGGCAGTTGATTTGCAAGGGCTGGTGCTACCAGGAGGGGGCCCTCAAGAGTCGCCGTTTTCCGGGTTCCGGAACCGCCCCCCCCCGCCCCCCATGAAGATTTACAATCAGGACAGGTATAGATGTGGCTGCGCTGGTGAGCGGCTACGTATCGGATTCCTTATCCAGTATCTGCAATTCTGAATTCCGAATACTGAAAATTCTAACCATACGGGGTGGGGGATAATTTTGCTTCAGTCTCACAAGGAAGCAAATCACCTAATAGGAGCTATTTATACTCTTTATTTATTTATCCTCTTTGCTGTGAATATTCACACATTTTGCTGCAAAAATGACCTGCGTGCTGGGGGCGGGGCGCCTCCTCGGGCCCCCGGGAGAGAGCGTTTGCTGGGGGCCTTTCTAAAACTGGAGCCATCGGAGTTCTGAAATGGATCTATCCCCAAAGACCTCAGCTAAGGGAGTATGGGCCTGCAGT